AGTGAGCAGCATACAAATAAGCTATCACCATACCATGACAGCTCATTTCTAACCTCCGACTCTCCGAGGCACAGAAACAGGAGTGGTCTCAAGTCAGATGAGTGGGCGTTCTTTGACGATGGTGTCCGGGACAACCAGAGCCAAATGAAAATGGACAGCTTCTAAATCCATTGACTTAATTCTGAGTAGTATATATCTGTTTGGCATAGCCACTCGCTGAATACAAATGGACAGTTTTATACACATACAGCGAGTTAATTTAGGAGGATCTAACGGATTGGGACTTAATTGAATGAAGATACAATTCAGTCCAGCTGTCACAAGAGATTTGGGAAATACGATGATCGATCTATATTAAATATAATGGCCATTGTTACATTTCTATTTAAATTCTCCGAAATAACTGTTTTAACCATGCATCAGGGACTTTGGTTTTGTTTCAATGAGCCCATTACGAGTATAAGTCTACGATGAGTATTACACTTCTTATACGAGCATTGACTCATGTAACGTTGATGTATTGACTTTATTTTTGACATCAGATACACGCTTCATTGTTTGGAAACGAAATTGATCAACTTTGGGCATCAATATTTTACAAGCGGAGTGCATTGATTTTGTTAGACATACCGAAATCAAGCTACTTGTCTCTATGGCACCTGAGGAGTGGGAACAATTGTAGCCAAATGTATTTCAATAAATGGATTGAGTTTTGTTTGGATAATGGAAATGATTAATTATGCATTATAAAGGAGCCCTTCCTTGAATTATAGAATGATTTTGCAGGAATTGATTGGATTTGACACCATGGGAGGTTTGTCTGTATGTGAACAGTCAGGAGCTAAAAGTGAATGAAATTTCCTCAAATCAATTTGACGCTATCACACAGAAGAAGCTATTAGCAATTCTAAATATCATCTGGGAAATTCAAAAACATAAAGTGATATTTAAGACTAATAACGTTTTACACGTATCACATACGGCTTAGGTGGACATTGGATAATGATTTGCAAAAGCACAGAGAGCTATAAGTGATACCAAAAGCTAATAACAGTTTTCAAGATATCACACATAAGCCTTGAGATGAACATTGGAAACTCATTTGCAAAACTCAAAAGAACTAATAGATGATTAAAAAGCTCATAACAGTTTTAAAGCAATAACAGATAAACCACAAGCGGACGTTGGATAATCATTTTCAAAACAAACAGTATGTGATACAAAATACTGATAACATTATTCAACGTATCACATACGTCTTGGACGAGCATTGGGAAATCATTTTTAAACCTCAAAAACACTCTGGAAATCTTCAAATTATTGTTTATAAAGGGATATATCACATGGTTCCATGCCTCATAGTTAATCAAAGAGTAATTTCTGGAAAAAATAGTTCCAAAGATACCATATAACCATTGGATATTCATTATATAATCGTCAATGGATATATAGAAACACGACGATTTTAGTACGTGCACGATAATAAGCGTTTCAAATATATATTACCTAAATTAACCCTCAAATAAACATTGGATATCACTATGTGACTCTACGAATCTGTGTATTTGAGGGACATCCCACTTAAGTATCAATTGCCTTGGCTACTCTCGTAATCAAGGCATCCATAAAGCTTAGGAAAAGAGAGGACTTTGATTTTAAAGTAATTTCTCTGGACCTAAACCAAGTTATTATTGCGAGTACCTTATCACACTAAACCAACATAATTCTTCCGATTCACAAGTCAATTTTCAAATAGTCTGGTTTTATTGGATATTTTGATGGACTCAATACATAAACAACACCAAAAACAATATGCCAAATTTATGGTACTTTGCTGGAATCACTCAGAATCAACGTAATCCCAATAGTGCAGTTGCCAGTAGGGACATAAAACCACCAGTATTTGCATACAAACCGTTGTATCTCTGCAAGGAGGCGAAGTCGCTGAGAAAAGAGAAGACACTTAAGGTCAATATTTTCTTCTGGGTTTTACATTGTCACATCAATCAATCTATAATGTATTTGTCTCAAAAGCACTTCTTTCATTATGGGAATCCTTTCCACATCTAAAGATTCGTCAGCTAATTATCAAATTCCAAATCAATCCTGTACAGCCTAATTCAAATTATACGTAATGAGAAGGAAATGTGCAAGGCACTCTAATGAATACAACTTCCATTCATCTTCATATTATAGCTTAATCAAAATAAAAGCGAACGCCGTTCCCAAGGGTACTTCTAATTAAGCTATAGAAAACAAAGCTAAGGATACAAGAACTACTAATGATATGGGTAACTGCGAATATATACTGGTACATAAACCAATTTTTGTATATGTTTAACGTTTCGTGTGGGAGTGCAATAATTTGAATCCGAAAAAACGGGAAACGTGATTAGCCACGAGAAATCAACATTGTAAGATGTACATAACACTAGAAAAACAGAGAAATTCATACATCAAGATTCATCACTATCCCCTTCCTGAATGAAATGTGGGCATGTGATTTATTAAAACGATCTGGAAGTCAACAAGTAATGACAGGTCAATATTCAATGTAAATAACACCTTTAGATATATTTTCTGAGGCCCATCAGGGAGGATTGGCAACCACATTTCGATCTCTATTTGACTGGCACTGACCAATTTTCCAATATATTATGTTTTGTTTCTTTTGTAATATCACCATAATGTTCAATCCCTGACGAAATACCTACTCCAGAGATGAATATCATATAATAGTTATTAATAGTAGTATAGCAAAAGTGTTCCATGTCAGTCAAAAGGAGAATATGAAAGAAGGTTTGGATCCAGTCTTCTTTACAATACTTGTTTTGACAGAAACTAAGAGAATCATTTTAAGGGATATCTATTTGCTTCCATGATACTTTTAACGTCTTTTTATACTCATCTGGTCAGAGAAACCTCACTCCAAAGATATATTCAACACATTTTATTACATGTCTATGGCATTCCTTAGCCAATTGACAAAGTACTATCATCGTCGGTGTAAGTAAAAATATTGATTTTTCGGAAATACTAATTGCTTCATCATGGGCAATGGTGTATAAAGTAATACGATCTGTCCACTAACTATACTTTTTACACTTAATATGTATTACACTAGATGACACAATCATCATCTTATAAAATGTTTTGTCTGAGGTATGACGTATGAGGTATTTTCAAAAACTATTTACAAATAACGATATGATGTAATATTCAAATTAAAGTAGATTGCAATAGCTGACCTATTTTCAATGTTGAAAAAATAAAGGATCTCACATGGGTCGTTTTTGCACGAAATAAAAGCTTTTAATTGTATGTGGCCAATGAACAAAACAACAACACAAACAACAACAATCGAGTTGTTCATGTTTGGTACGTGAAACTGTAAAAATTATCCTCACCAAACTTCGTTCACCATTCAATGAAACACATTCGTTTGCTATCGATCGTGGCTCCTAAATATGTCTAAAATCACTTTACCCGACGCTTTATATTCTTTAATTGACTAAAATATATGGTATCGCAACCCTTGTATACTATTATTAGTGATAATATTTTGTCAGTGAGATATGTGTTTTAAGAATATATTTCAATTAGTTCCTGCCTTAGAGTGCGATTTGGTATTAGAGGGACAGTCGGGATACCATCAGGAACCTTTAGTAATAATTCAAAAGCCCAATGGGTAAATATGACAACCAACTGAGAGGCTAAAAATCCTTTTTATTTGTATACACTAAGAGTAGCTACTGACAATTAGTTACATTAGTTTTATATCCGTAGAATCGTACAATTTCATGTTTTAATTCTGTTAATAATCACTATGAAAATGTCAGTGGTATCAATGACACGTCTCTGACACGTCGCTTCCACGTATGGCTCAATGCGTTACATTAGGTGATTGGTAGTCTGTACGTGAGAGTCGATACGAATGCTAGTGATTCTCTATGCATCGTAAAATATAACCTCATTCGTGATCTGGAGCAATAGCTTTTCAAAATGGTAATGAATTGTGCAGAAAATCTGAAAATTTTCTTAAAATTCTATGCACCACATCTTGGATGACTGTTTTTCTGAAAATGTGTTATATCACGGCACAACATTTTCTTTTGAACGCTTAATGCATCTCAGTTCGCCCAAAAGTATGGAATGATTAATAAAACAGTGTATTTATACATCAATCGACGTTTTGAGTAAACGATTCATGCACTGGAGCTCTCTATAATTCACGTTCATGTGCAAAAAGTAATATTTGATTCACTACCATCGAACAATGCACATTTGGTACGCTACACACCATAAGTTTGGAAATCCAAACTGTAACCAATATTTAAACCGACTGCAACTCACTCTCCACTGTTTCAAAACTTAACTAAAATTCGTCTCTCATTAGTATTGAACTATTCAGGTCAACTAAAATATAGCAGAGTGCTTCATCCTCATCCTAACAGTATATAGTCTATATAAATCTCCTTAGAAACAAATAGAAGCCACAGAGATGAACAAATATTTTGTGCTTATATAATCTTATGATAACATTCTAATAATCGTTAAACTTCAATCAACCAAAATGCCCCGATGAATTAAAAGTGTGAGCCTGACACGGCCAAGAAAGAAGCCACATTCTATCTGCAAACCTCGAACTCGGCCTCAACTGAATTTGTTACACAACTTTCCCATTCGACCCATAACGTGTTTTCAACTTAAAGCCTGTTTTTCTTTATATCCAGTGATTTTATAAATTAATCATGCTCGATTATCTCTGGTCGATTTTAACAAGCAAAGAACATCTTAAACATAAATAGCCTTTAACACCCTTTAAAATGTACAGTTAGGGATTCAAAAGTGTTGGTGAGGAGTGTACATTGCATATGGCAGTGAAGTCAGTGTTTCCACACTTTTAAAGGTGGTGTAAGTATTATTAAAATGGTGTAATATACAATCATCTGTATGCAGAGTATTCAATATATATACAAGAAGTTGTTTTATTCTTTTAGGGTAAGATGAAGGCAAAGTTGTGGAAGCTCGTATTGGTCGGCCTGCTTGTGATCTGTGGCATAACAGCGTATGGTAAGTGAATTTCGAAAACTTTCTATATAATTTGTGAATTTACATAGGAGGGGCCGTCAAATGTTTCCTTGCCCATAGATCTGTTATATCTGGAATGTTGAAAGTGGCAAGATACACTTGTAATTCACAGTCTTTGCGTATATGTAGCAATATGGCACACATTTTGAGGCAAAATGTTACATTATCGATCGTAAAGCGACACATGTGAGAGATGATATAAGAAATAAGTATTGCATTATTTGTCAGTTTACGTTTAATTTCTAAGTTTAGTGCTACGTTTCCGTGGTGAGAATTTCAAGGCAATACTTCTAAAATCAAATGCGCAATCCAAGTGATTGCTTTTAGATGATGTAATGTTAAGTCAGGGCTTATCCAAGGTGCTTGTCCACGAGGCAAGATTCATCGACAAACTTAATATTCATATCAAATACCATTCACTCACACTATTTATGCATGCTTATTTTGATATGATCAGCTAGGCATATTTTAAAACCAGTTCATCAAAATGAAACCATGAGAAATTGAGAATAAGTGATAGAGCATCATAAAAGTAAAATCATGACATGTCCTTTTCCTGACCAATTATGTTTGCTCAAATGGAATGTCTTGTCTAAATATTTTCTCATAGTGATAGTGTTAATATCTCGATATAATATAGAATATAAACTGCATATTTAGTGTAAGTATTTTCAAAGCAACATGAGTACTCTTACAGACGTTATTCAAATGGAATATAGTGTGATTTTTAATACGTTTTTTATATGATGTTTATCATTCATCTTTGAAAAGTTTTCATAATGTGCTACAATGGAATCAGTCATAAAAAGGTTCATAAAAACATTTCAATTCGATTTAAAATGCTACGTGTAGTCTTGGAACTCTAAACAATGTGTACTACGTGTTATCTGTATACATCGTACATACAGTAGCTAGTCACGATATTTCACATCTGGTCAACCAGAACACAGTGTCGCCATTTTTTTCTGTTAAAACAGTTGAATAGTTGTTTGGCCTTGACCAAGATTCAGTGAAATTGATTACACTTATAAACTTTATAATTTCAATTCTGTTCATTCCCTATTTATAAGCATTATGATTAGAAGGAAACTTTGATTGTTTATATTTTTTATATTTGTTATACTCTTTTTAAATAAATAAAAATAAATGAATGGAAATGGTTTCGTTGATTCAGCGTGGATCGGATGGGGAGGGGGGGGGGGTATTTAAGTTAAGCACATCAAAATCAAAAGTAAAAGAGGAACAAGTTATACTTTTGGAACAATCATAGTCAAACTGCAAATTGGTCTGATGTAAAAATGACCTGCCTGCCTGTAGTTGATTACTATTTTTGTAAAACTGTTTTGCCATGTGTGAATAGCAACTTAGTATAACAAGTATACGCAACTTCGCTCATTGATTGACAAGTTGTGTTTTAATAACCTAGCCTAAAATTCTGAGCAATTCGTTAAAGACCATACAGCCATAGTGGTCAAATCAATTTTCATGAAAAGCACGTAAGTTGAGTACCTATAAAAGAAGCTTTAAAATCATCCAAAACTTTTTAACCATAAAAACCCTTTTCAAGTTTGATAAGACCCAGGCCGTATATATACTTATTCGTGATGTTGCTCAATTACTAATCGATGTAACGCAGAATTGCTCAATATCCCAATTACAAAGCTAACAATATTTTCTTTGTTCCTTTGATGGATTTATATTCTACATGTATAATAATTGTTTAATAGTCTAGACATTTCCATTGGGGCAAATAATTATCCGATATATTGTAGGAGCGGCCCAGATGGTTCCTACCTCCAATCCTGGACTCGTAAGTGAAGGAACACCGACCGTCTCAAGCCAGGGAAAAGTAGGTATCATTGCATGCATAGGAATCATGATAAGGCTGTTCCTGTTACAGGTGATGCTACTGTTGACCAACCGGGCGCGACTGACGAAGTTGAAGATCAGTTGGATGATGACCAAAACGGGTTTATAAATAACACCTTTAACGAAACAGTCGATGCTTATTCTTCAGGGTTTAACAGTAGTTTTATGACAACTGACGATTTACTTAACGTAACGACCAATTACGTAGACAATATAAATGATGGTGGATCAACTGACGTACAATATACAACGCAGGGTTATGTAACAGAAGCAGGTTCTTCTAATGAATATACTGACAGAGACATTGATAGCGATATAGACGCTAAAACAGAAACTATAGAGCACTCAGAAGAGATCACTACGCAAATAAACAAGCTCAAACCAACGGACACTATTGTTACAATAGAAAATGATGAGGAGCTGACATCTTTTGAAAATGTGGATGAAGCAACCACAAGCTCAGTTGATTACCATTCCACTGACAAATATTTCATTCAGACTGAACCTTATATCGACGAAGCGACTGATACAGTGACAACTGCTTATGTAACTGCAGTAACAGATCATGATGTAACTGAAATAGTAACAGCTGATGATGTAACTGAAATAGTAACATCTGATGATGTAACTGAAACAGTAACAGTTGATAATATAACTGAAGTAGGAACAGATGATGGTGCAACTGAAATAGTAACAGTTAATAATATAACTGAAATAGTAACAGCTGATGATGTAGTTGAAATAGTAACAGCTGATGATGTAACTGAAATAGTTACAACTGATGATGTAACTGACTCACTAACAGTTAATGATTTTTCTGAACGAATAACAGCTGATGATGTGACTGAAAGAGTAACAGCCGATGATGTGACTGAAACAGTAACAGCTGCTGATGTAATTGAAATAGTAACAGTTGATAATATAACTGAAATAGTATCAGCTGATGATGTAACTGAAGCAGTAACAATTGATAATATAACTGAAATAGTAACATATGATGATGTAACTGAAATAGTTACAACTGATGATGTAACTGACTCACTAACAGTTAATGATTTTTCTGAACGAATAACAGCTGATGATGTGACTGAAAGAGTAACAGCCGATGATGTGACTGAAACAGTAACAGCTGCTGATGTAATTGAAATAGTAACAGTTGATAATATAACTGAAATAGTATCAGCTGATGATGTAACTGAAGCAGTAACAATTGATAATATAACTGAAATAGTAACATATGATGATGTAACTGAAATAGTTACAACTGATGATGTAACTGAACTGGTAACAACTGATGATGTCACAGAGACAATAACAACTGATGATGTCACAGAGACAATAACAACTGATGATGTGACATATGGAGTTACAGCTGACGGTGTAACAGAGATTATCAAAGATGAAGATGTAACAGAGACAATAACACCTGACAATGTGACGGATACGAGAATAACTGATGGTGTGGCAGATACAGTTACAAAGGATTCGGCTCATTCAGTCACAACTGTTCTTTCTTCTGAAGGAGAATCAGATGAGATAACGAGCATTGATGGTGATACATATACCTTTGAACCAACCACTAGTTTCCCTTTGTCTGACCAAAATATTACTGATCCAACATCAGGAGCTACTGTTGAAGATAGCTTTGAATATACAACTGGTGATTTCGAAGAGACGAAACACAATTTTCTGACAGACAAAACTACTGACGACGAAAAAACAATAACAACCGAAGTTTATGACTATATCACCCAAACTGAAGAATATAGCAAAGCTGGTATCACGACTGAATCTGTTACAACGTATTTCCCGACAGAGGTATCTCTATCATATCTGCAAAACTATGCAATGTGTGCGTCCAATACTAATGACAATATAAACGCTTTTTCCAATTAGAGAATAGAGTATCTAGCCCTCGGGAGTCTACGCAATTGTATAGTCATTTCTATCGCGTATTCTCTCTGTGATCTCTGTGATAGGTTGTCAGATATCTAACGTTTTATTAAACAGCTTGTTGATGCGGAGGATGAAATGACTTCAACAAAACATGCTTTTGTAATTTAGCAGATAGCAGATATATGAAATATTACGCTTACATTCACTAAATAATTCACGAGGACTTCGTTCATTGCAAGTTAGATCTCATAAAAACGTGAAATGATCTGTCGGTATATGCTTAGCTTGGTATTCTGCTTTTACTGTAGATAAATGTGTGCTTAGTCCAAAATGATATCCAAATATTAGTTTAGCGATTTGTGTTCTACTTAATGAAATATTTTGTGAAATATGTCAGTTGTAATTAATGATTAAACTTTATTCCTCCTTTTCCTTAAAAAAAGAGATATACATATTCTATTTTTATATCTTAATATCATTATTATTTATATATTTATTTTTATCAATATATATTTATTAACCAAACCAAACTGTATCATTCCAGGAAGAGAATGCCACAAGATATACGGGTAAGTTAAAAATAATTATTTTTTTCCCCAGATACACTTCCCCTTCAAAAATTTGGCATCCGGAAGACTCCATTTATTCCACGCGTTAAAGCTTATTTTTGCTTTGTTCCTTGAAAGCTAAATTCGTGATAAGTTTTCGGTCAAGTCAGAGTCAAACAAAAATATGCTTTTACACACTATATTCAATGGGGAACTCTGGTTGCCATTTGAACCTATTTACCTGACGGAATGTCATGGCTGAGCACATAATACAGTTCTGCCATTATATGTGCAGAGGAGGTTCGTTTGGGCTGCACATACTGTATAGTACTTTCATGTCACCACGACTAATCGTTTGCATCTCTCTATCTTTCTGCACATTAGAGTTCGTATCGTGTTGATATCTATTTTAACATGAATAAGAGAAAACTATAGAAAATGAAAATACAATTAACGCTTTGTTGTGTTTTTATATTTCATGCCTTTATTCCACGTCTAGCTCTTCGTGTTTAGTCATCACTTCAAAACTGGATTTTATCAATTTTCTAATTGTGTACAAAAATGCACCGACGTTTAACAAAAGAAATCAATGGTTTCACTAATGACTACAAATATTGTAATATTTTATAAATCATCATATAATCAAAATGCTAATACTAATGTGTAGTTTGCTACTACCATTTTATCCGTTCATGTTGGATTGCAATTCATCACCTATTGGGTTAGCGTAACTGCTAGCTTCACAACGCATCCCTTTGAAGGGATAGCACGTAAAAGCAATCTACATTGTATCGTAGTCCTTTTAGTTACATAACAAAACTAACCTCAAATGAATGATTAATCAATTACTAGTTACTGCTTTCATAAAACAGAAATCAAAGTAGAATAAAAAAAAAAAGAATATCAACTCTATGGCGACATAGAAACGTTGCTTAAACATGCAAAACACAGCTGTGTCGACCAGTGAGTGCAATCATACTAATACTATTGCGTAGTTGCGTAGCAAGTATGCCTCCTTCTGGATTCAAAGCGCATAAAAGCAGTCGTAGTATATTTTCGTAACAAAATTAGCTCAGATAAATAAGTTGAGAAAAAATAAAAATATGATATTTCCACCCTTGTGACACAGACACGCTACTTATATGCAAAACACAACTATGTTGGCCAGTGAGTGCAACCATAGTATGTGTTGTATAGTAACCACGCAATTGCAATCATTGTAAAATTATTATGCAATCATGATAATTCAAGCGAGCAACCATGAAAATGTTTGCTTTTGTAGACTTGGAAGGCCTTTGGGTCGGTTGGTTCATGTGTGGAAACAAGAATTTCTCCTTTGAGATGAACATAACTGACTCTGATGATTTGGACGGGGTAATAAAATTTGACGGCCCGGGCAATTCAGGGGCCCATTATTTGAATGGGCTAGCATCAGACAACGATCTTATATTCAGTTTTGGAGATTGGATCAGTGAGGGGACCTATCGATTAACAGGCTCTGGATCTATGTCTGAAGATGGCTTAACTTTGAGGGGTGCTATTGCCGGTGATTGTGAATCGGAACCCAGAACACTTTACGCTAAAAGATATTTAGGTAAATTTCTAATGTTGAAAAAAATCCAGTTTTTAGTCTCTTTAGTTTTAGCTTCCATAACTCTTCTAATTTCTTACATCCATCCGATTTTCACTTTTAAATCATTTAGATATATTTATATACTAATGCCTGGGTCACATATGCCCCGATTTATCGGCCGGTGCCCGGTCGATTGAGTATTTTGTTCAAAAATGAATGCAATTTTGAACAAAATACTCACCCAGTCGGGCGCCGGCCGATGAATTTTAGCAAATGTGACCCAGGCATATGTAGAACACCATGTTTTCACCCAGCTGATTCCTGCTCTTACTTATTTATTCTTACACCAATCTTCCACCTTTAAAAAAGCCTGTTGTATTATCTTAAAACACTTAACACCATCTCGTAACACGCGTTAACTGTAAATGGACGAGACATAGTTCGTTTATCATCACTTTAACACAATGCGCTAAATGCAACTATACACACCTTGCACCAACTATTTGTTCCTTTTCTCGGTTGAAACAGTCTTGAAAATAATTTATGTTAAAATCAATAATTTCACTGTAGATATATTAGATTTTTGAAAATTTTAAACCCTTGATATAATAACCGTTTATGTGGATCGAACTGTTTTATGATATATGTATAATGACAAATATACATCATTTATCAGGCATAGTTTTCCTTAAAACCTGATTCAAACATGACCGTGCTCTAATTGAATTTCTCAACCAATCAGAATGCAGCATAGCCAATATAGAACGTTCTCTAATTCTCCATAGATGCACGACCGTGCTCTATCCAATCATCCGGGAATCTACGTATTGTATTTGCATTGTGACGTCACACCTGGGAATGGCGAAAATAACAGCGAGCTCGAGTTTGGTGTATCTCATGTAGCTCCAATCCCCAATTCTCTGAACAATGTTTTCATTTTTTATATGTTTGAATCGGAATAAATAATGATAGGCCATTCAATATGGTGAAATTCAGCACTCGTTGGACAGAATGTCAGTACAAATGCACTCACCTTCGGTTCGTGCTTTGTACGACATTCTGTCCAACTCGTGCTGAATTTCACCATATTGAATGGCCTATCATTATTTATTCCTTAATTGAAATGACATTTGAATACCCTTGGCTATTTTGTGAAAAACAACATATTGCATGCTTCGTACGAAAAGGTTCTTACATGTATATTCGAATTAATATGTAAACTATGAACTTGATACTATTTAGGAGAACATACGATTGTGGGAAATCCTCTGGATCCCTATGTACCAGCCCTCTATGTTGGGAATAATGAAGAAAATAACTACATCATTGTCCTTGACAATAATGTCTTTGGAGATGGTGTCATGACGTCATTTGCAGCTCGTTTCATCAACACAAACCCAGTGACAGTAATGGTATGTAATATTCCAAGTGTAAAGTAATAGAAGGGAGTGGATGTTGGCGATTATAATGCCATCTATTAGGGATTAAAGAGAGAATCAGATCTCTCGAGCAAACTCAACAAAAATATTTAGGTCATTTTTGGCCCCTGCATACTTTTTCAGGAAAACCAAAGATTGTCACAATAATGTACTTTTTTTATAAATATGGTTACCGTTTTTATTATTCGGGAGAATCTAAACATCATCCCCATTTTTGCACTTTGAATCTTGAATAACTTCTATTTCTCCAATTCACAAATCCTTTGGGGGATATTGAATTTTAGATTGTAAGGGAAAGATATGGTAAGCCAAATGTACATATACATATGCCTTCCAAAGGCTTTGCTCAAATTATAGATCTTTTTGATAAAAATGTTATTTTTGGGTTTTCTCTATCAAAACATTGAAAAAAGTCTGGGATATGTGTGCTTAAGCTCTCCATTGGTGCATTTTAAAAAAACATACGTATAATATACTACGGCTAGTTCTCTGAACTTCCAAGTGTGTAATATCATCGAAGTCAATCAAAATTAAAATGTAGCATAAATGGTAGTATCGAAAACTAGTAAATCTTTAGTATAAAACATGTTGGGGATTTTTCTGTAGGTCGTGAGGCCAGAGTCGGGTTCAAGCAAGAACTTCGAAATCATACACAGCTTCGTCTTCACACCAAAGAACTTAACAGAATATGGGACAATCCAGGGAGTAAGTAAAGCCAACAAATACACCAAGATTTAACAGGATGACTGTATATATTTCATAGTATCTTATTTTGCAAAGAACTGAATGTCCTTTTTTGAGGAATCTAGATTTTTGCTCTGTAGAAAACATCAAAAATCATCATTTTGATAAAGCAAAATATAGCAAAACAAAAATATTTTTGTTATCTCTAATATACAATAGCTTGTGACAAAAACCTTCATAAAGGTGTCTGACATACAGGTAACGAGTGGCTTAGGGCGCAAGGGCAAATCTTTAAAAGTATCCCAGTGCAAGTTATGACTCCTTATCCTCATAGTTGAAATCAATTAAACCTTGATGATCATGTGTCTTTTATTTCTAGATTACCCTCACTGATTGTCCGCTAGTTCAAGAAGGGGACAGACTTGCATTTACAAATTTAAATGGCGGAGATGGCGGTGGACCTGTAACTTATATAGGAGATATGTATGTCATATATTAAGCAATATATCATAAAAAATAAATGATACGTATGATATAAGGCAATATTAATTAATTATGTAATTACAAATAAAGAAGCAAAAATTGTTATGTAGATAAAATCCGGATGTCCATTTGCATCTGTTAATGCCTGTTAAGAATAACAGGCCAGTAATAGTGTTTTAAAAGGTCAACATGTTTAAGTAAGAATTGACATTTTCAAAATGTTCATATGATGAGGTACGTTAATATTATACAAAATGTATGTTATTTCATTTCAGGAGATACATGTTTAAATGGTTGAGATATGAGTACTCACCAACTCAACAAACCCCTGGAATCGGAGACACAATAAATACATCAAGGATGATTCACCAGAACAGATTTTTTGCCATGGCCACTTATGCACCAGGTTTTAAAATACATTTCATTATTTTATTACGAGAGAGATATCGTGTTCTCATTTATAGCGTGTTTTCATATGTTTTAAAACTTGTATTTTTGTGTACTCCGTACATCATTACTTATATATTTACAGCTCAAATTATCGTTTGAATATTTGTTTTGTTCAGTGTAATTCCATATTATGTCATTTTCACAGCAAAACCCTAAAAGTGTGTATAATTTGATTCTCTTGAGAAGATTCAAAACAGTAGAGCTGTTTCATAATTTCAGCTTATACCATTGTGGGGGCAAAATATGTTTTTAGTTTGCCGTTATCATTATTTAAAATGATATTGACACGGAAGAATTAATTCTCTTACTATTGATCTTTTAACAGAGGTACTTTGCGGCGAGAATGTTGAACCAGATATTGTGACAACTACAAAGCGTCCTACAACAACTACAACAACAACAGAAGCACCAATAGCCACAACAACCAGCCAATCTGCTGCAGAAAATACAACCACCCCAGTAGCCACTAGAACAACAACGGAGACAACAACCACAGCGGAACTCGATTCTAATGTTACAACTACCCACAATTCGCCTCTCACCACTCCGACTCAAGTTCCTTCTCCGGTTGTTCCTACCATGTCCCCTGACCCAGGTCCTGATGGGGGAGGAGATAATGGTTAGACCAATCATCAACACTATTCGTCAATGCTATGATCATTATTATCAATATTGTTATTTCTCTCACTAATAATTTTATATCCTTAAAAAACATCATATTTCGCACTCTATCAAAAGATACATATACCATAGTCATAACAATTTGTTTTAATTATATCAAACCCATCTCCGACCGGGCATACATTTGGCCTCAATCCGATTAATATTTGTATTCGGCATTCGCTGTTGTAACTCATCATGTATTTTCATTTTAGGTCAATGTACGGTGATATCAAATCTTAATGTTAAATGCGAGTCTTCTCTTTCTAACCCAAATGGCCAGAGTTCTGACAAGCCATGGGAGATTCCAGCTAGAGGTAAGGCATGATCATTGATATGATCTACACTGTGAAAATGTGAAGAAAACAGCAATTTCCATGTAATGGAAAGCATCATCTACTGAAAAATTGGTTTTATACAAGTATCTAAAGATATTATATCTAAAGGAAAACATATCATATATCACATTGCTCATCACAGATTTTTGTACTGTTTTGGGAGGATTGTATAAAGTTTCATGGGGGAAATGTGCATTATGTGTTATTTCTTAATCGTTGGTGTATACAGCATATGTTATAAAGGTAATGTTGTCTTTTAACAGGAGTTTTAAATTCAAATGTGCCACTGAAAAATCGTCGATAACTTTTCTTACCAATTAATTACTCTATTAAATATACATTTCAGACTGTACAGAAGTATTGGCAAAAGGTGCAACAGAAAGTGGACCATATTTCATAAGACCATATTTTGGCTCAACTGTCAGCCCTGTTACAATTCAGGTTTACTGTCATTTCGAAGATGGCAAGGCCTGGACTACAGTTCTGCGAAGATTAGATGGTGCTATAGACTTCTCAGAATGTAAACTTGATGGAGGCTGCCTTGAAGAAGGTACCGGACACTATTCCTACGAATACTGGATCGGACTGAACAAATTACACATTCTCACTCAGGATAAACCATACAAGTTGAGAGTTTCTATGGAAACGTTTTCAGGCTCAAGAGTATTTGCGGAATATTCCGTTTTCTGGTTAAATAATTATGCAAATTATCGTCTACATGTCGGAGGGCATTCTGGGGTAGCTGGTGATTCCCTTGGATTGCATAATAGGTTCAGGTTTACAAGTGCATGTCGGGATGTCGCTGGACAAGTAGGATGGATAGAAAAGGCTGACGGTAGTTGTGAGACACATGCGAATCTGTTTGGTCCTTACTCCTCCGAATGCGGAGAGAATAACGAATGTATTTTCTGGGATACCATTCCACTTGACCCCAATGGCAATAATAGGGCAATTAAAACGTTGGAGGTGAAAATAACACCCAGTTAATTGAAAATGTCTTTATCAAAAAGTATACTTTAATAAGTTACCAAAAATCGTAGTTTTGCAATATTCAATATTAGTAATAATAACGAAGACCTCTATTGTATTTCAAATCAACGAACTGTGATTTAACCTGTTATACCAAACACTATCACACCGTACTACTTGCCAAATAAATTAAGTGCATTACATGGGCATGCGAAAAGCGGAACTTCCAATTGGTTCATTATGGCAAATGGAAGAGTTGGAGTGCTAAGTCTTGAAAACATTCCTGAGTGTTCTAACGTAAATATATATATATATATTTACTTGTGGATTGTAAAAGATCGTTTCCAAAACCATATATCCTGAAGTGTCATCTCATTATAAATCATGATGTAGAGTTTTAACTGTGATTACTTTGGCACCCACTTCATCATAAAATATTGTTCCATTTTCCATTTCCATCCCATTTTACTTCGTAGATGCAAAGGACGAACGTGTAAATGTTTATATAATACGGTACATACAGGGTGAGCCAAAGAATACAAGTCTGAAGATTTGTTAACCATGCCATGTATTCATTTTAAAGATAAATGATTTTCTAACAATATGGAACATCCGATTGAAAAACCTTTGTTTTTCTGTGGAGTCTCAAATTGACACAGGGGATGTCATGAGCGACCGAAAAGTATTCATTGCGGATTTCCAAATTGTGGAAATAGAGGAAAATTTGTATATCGGCACCTTCAAAAGAGGTACATTTATTCAAGTTTAGTGCAAAATTCGCCTATAATAGATATATATTTTGAATCAACTACCTATTGTACATTACTCTTAAATAAATTTATGATGATCCAGTCAAGTATATTGAGTGCAGCTGTGACTGCATATGAAGGAAATTTTGGAATTTTCATTTTAGATTTTTGTCTCCACAAGCAAAATATTTTTTCAATCAGATGGTATCATATTGTTAGGGAATGATTAATCTTAAAAAATAATACATTATACATGTACATGACATATAGTTTAAAATCTATTATATAATATTCATCTTTAAACGTGTGTATTCTTTTTTGCCCATCCTGTATAGCGTATTCAAAATTCACATAAAAAGTATACCCTGTACTTATTGTTAGTTGGGGTGGGTTGGACATCTAGTATTATTTAAGAGTTGTTGGGTCTATGTACTATCAAGTCTTTGCAGAACAAATCAAAGTGGCTGCATGTAAATTAAATAGTTGACCTAGATGTACATTTTATAATTAAGTACGTGGTACTATTTATCGTTTTACTATAAGTAATTAATAATAACTCTGTGTTCTATAATATTTTTTATACATCAATATATTTGTAATTACAAAGGAATTGATATTTTTCTCAAAATACATAACTGTAATCGTCATTAATGTCTGTTGATATGCTATTGTACATAAATATCGAAATGTAATTCTTGAATCGACTGTATATAATGTAAAAAAATGTGTAATTACTAATACAGACTCTTTTCTAAACAATCCGAGTTGCTCTTTTGTTCTTTGTTAATCTAGAATAATATATCTATAAAGACCTCCATTCTACCTTTTTAGTACTGCAAATTCGTAAAGCAAAATAAAGATCACAAACCAACGCCAACGCCAAATTTGGTTAATTGTTACAAAAAAATTCCATTTCATTTCTTCGCTTCAAATGTGTTAAATATCATTTTCGATCCCTGAATATACAATTGCGAATTGTCATGTTTTGTGGATTATGACGACGGCTTAGCGAGAGGGGATCTTGGGCCTTTGAATTGCCTATGGACTTCGTGTCTGGATTTCGTCTGTCCCATTATCATTTGAGACTGAATGCTCTTTCTTTTAAATGAATATCAGTATCTACAACCATTTTCTGATGTTGTGTATTTTTTTAATCAAATTATTGTAATGACTTCAGCATTAATGAAATGTCACATGTGTTCTGGTCCTTGACTGTATTATTGGCTCTCGATGGGGGTGGGGGGGGGGGTGACCGCGTCATTTTTGGTATTTGATAAATTATCACAACGTTGCATAACTTTTTGTCTGCATGATATTTGACTTTTCGTGTAGTACATTAAAACAAGGATCGATAGTGCAACCCCACAAAAAGTTTCAAACGACTAGCTCTAACAAGATGCATATTTATGAGCGTTACAAGATGTGCTCTCAATATCCTTTTCAAACATACCTGGATTCTATACACACCGTTTGTAACATTACTTTGTAAATACGTTATACTGATAAAATAACAACATCTTTTTCAGATTGTGATCAATAAATGGACTTTTTTCCCCATACGTACAGGCAAGAATCATTGGTCCCTCGCTTTTGTAACGTTGACGATCTGCATGCCGAAAACGAATCCCGTAAGTTCTTCCATCTTGTTACGCTGACGTCTCGTTAGCGTAACCAGGTGAGTACCAGTGTTAGTTGTGTTCCAAAAAATCATATCTGGAGATCTTATCTTGTAGCGCCAATAAAGTGCATCTAGTCTGAAATTTCTCGTGTAGTTGCTCCATGGAGCCTACTAGTTTTTATGTGCTAAAGAACATGTCAGATATCATACAGTAAAATTGCAATATTAAGTGAGTTGTATACCTTGTGTCACTCTGCTTGTTTCATTTCTCTTAGATTGGAAGCGTCTCCCTGGTGACCAAAATATTAGCATTACAATATATTTCTTGATATTGTGCAGTCATTTTATTGTCCACTGTGTATGTCATCTTGATAACCTGAACATGATTTGTATTAGAGAGCGATATGTGATATTTTGACAGAACAACGGTGTCGATAATTATATGATAAAATCCCGAAAAAGACAACAATCTAGAAAACCTCAAAACCCTAAGTATGTTACATAAAGTCATATGTGACATAAAGTCATATGTTACATTGTTAAAGTAATATTAATCAAACAAGAATCAACATCGGAACGGAATAGTTTTTAAACAAATGCACATGTTTGTAAATTATTATCTATTCTAACATTTAGTTTAACAATAACATGTTATCCCAAGCGTCCACCATTGGAACGGCCATTACTTTAGTGATGTTGTCCTCCTTTTGGGATGAGCAGTCATTCGAATGATCCACTTCTTAATATCCAACTGTCCTGCTCGTTTCAGAGTTAGGAGTTTATGTCTCAACCTAGCAAGGGCCATCTGATCCAATCGTTTCGAATTACACAACAGTTTGGTTCTGCAGATGCATGAGTTCAGTCTAGAACAGCAGAGGAATCCTTTAACTGCCCTCAACGGACAAAATGTATTCCAACTTCGTTTTGGGCTCAGCAAAATATCGTCATCGATATCGTCATATTGATACACATTTTCCTGGACTGATTGACCGATTTGATCATATGGCGAAACCAGTGATACAATTAACATTATCTGAAATAAGAAAATACTTATTATTAGATTTTATATCATCTGTCAAACAAAACATGAGGTACTTATGTATTATTACCAATGGTGGCAGTATAAGTTCAATATATAACGTGCTTATGTTCCCTCCTGGTATGAACAAGAATACTCTATCTGTATATACACCCATTTAAGTAATTATAACATTAAAACACACTCCTTCACTATAAAACGCTAGTAACTTTTCTTGCCCATATTTGTGAAACTTGAGAAGGATTCACACAATAACAGTATATACAAAAAGCCACTATTTAAAAAAAATGTATATTTTTTGATCGAAAATGAATAGAATATCACCAGCTTCTCACTTAAACGTGCGATGTGCAAATGAGAAATAAACATACAAACAACAAACTACAAAAGCTGGCCATCAACTAGGAGAAGTTGAGAGAAACTCAGCCAACATTTCGTTGATACTGCTACAGGGTGTTAAAAACGCAACCCAAAGAAAAATGTGCCAAATTTGAAGAGCCAAAACACTATGATTAGGAAGTTATTTTGTTTTTTTTGCGGTTGCAGTCACCCCTGACTGCGTTTCTCGTATTTTCCTAGTACAATTCTGTTTTGAGCAGGTGTCGAAGGCATCATGTTTTTCAACTAACCATCTACAGGAGCTAAACATACACAGTCTCCTCTTTCTTTCCTGAAAAAATGAACATAATTGAATTTGTATTTTCCAAGATATAGCGATTTTCCATTCGCATTTTCGTATTTCTCTAATACTAATATATTTTGAGCAAAACATCATGTTTTACAACTAACTAACAACAGGAGCTATACATACACAGTCTCGTCTTTCCTTCCTGAAAAATGAATATAATTGGATAAGATATAGCGATTTTTTGGGTTGCGTTTTTTTAACACCTTGTATATCAGCATGGTAACAAGGACTAAAAGGTATCATCTAAGAGCTTGGCGCACTGGCGGGCCAAGAGGGCCTAAAAAAGGGGCATTTTTGGCAAAATTTGGCCTTTTGGGGCTTATCAAATTATCAAAAAATGAACCCTCGATCTTCAAAATTTGGGCGCAATTTTTGGTCTTAGAATCTGCCCCCTCCAATTGAACTCCCCTTTTAGATCAAATACAATTCGAGTAGAAAGACGTATCACATTATTTCATTACCCGGGAACTCTGGCAATATACAGGGCGTATCAAAAAAGCGCAACAAGTAGTTATCTCGTAAAATCACAAAACTAGTGATGACTACATCAATTTCATTCAATGTACCATTAAGCCACGTCTCTCCTCTTTGCAATGATATGTCATTCAGTCACATGTGATAATGGTTGGGTGAGAAATCCTTCAATTTGCACAGTGGGTCAAAATCGGCTCTGCACCAAGTTTTAGATATTGAAAAAATCAGTGCAAGGGCTAAGTGCCAATGGAAGTTCCCTTTACTTGAATTGTTGTGACTTTTTCTTTTGGAGCTATCTCAGGAGCAACGGTGCTCACAATTTCTCCACCAGATATTGCAATACATCGAGAAAGAATTGCCCATGGGCTGCTTTTCTCTGGTTTAACCCACAAATGACTCAGGGCTAAACCATGCATGACGTGGACAGATGAGCGCATCTTTATGTGCAAGGAAGTGGTGGCAATTTGGAGGGATATAGAATGTATTCTTGCAAGAGTATGAGTATGAACACTTTACTGTCAATGCCACACTCGTCACACCTTCTTCCAATAGCCCCTGTGCCCCTTGTACTGACTTTTGCAATGTTTGAAACTTAGGTCCGAGCTGAATTTTACAAAATTAATGATTATTCGGCCAGAGATGACTCGCTGTGAATGAATGATATTCCATTGCAAAGAGGAGTAATTTGGCTTTTTGGTACATTGAATGAAAAGGATGCAGTCAGCATTGGTTTTATGTTTTCTTCCAATATTGCATCGGCCTCCGTACACTGACTTTTGCAATGTTTATAACTTGGCCCCAAGCTAATTTCGGCCCTCTTTGCAAATGGAATGATTACTCTCCCAACCATGACCAAATATCAATGAATGATATATCATTGTAAAGAGGAGACACATGGCTTTATGGTGCATTGAATGAAACCAATGCTGTTATCACTGGTTTTGTGCTTTTTCGAGATAACAATCTGTTGCGTTTATTTTGATACGCACTGTACAACTGCAAAATTTGAAATAAAGGGTTCTTTTGCTGGTTGCACATGCTCCTTATTGATTTAATTCGAACGACCTTCCAAAAGCACCTGCCTTATATTCCGTTGTCCTTTGAAAATTATGACCTTAAGGCGAGAATTGGAAATTCATATTTTAGCTTCATTAATCAAACTGTGTGTTTTTCAGTAGGTTAAGTAAAATGAGGTTATTAGAGCCATAAAGAACATATTAAATATTACTTACTAAGCTTAATATCAATTTCCCAGACAATATGGTGTTCAATTACAAAGGGTTTAAATAATCTGCATTGTTTAGGACCTTCTCTGGAATACGATTTTACCAGACGAAAAAATGTTCTGATTTCTTAAATAAAGTTTTCATTCTCCATTTTGTATTGTATTGTATTGTATTGTATTGTATTGTATTGTATTGTATTGTATTGTATTGTATTTTGTTTACCATCAATGAAGGTGAGCAATACCTCTTGGGTATGTCCCGTATATATACGGTCGTAATTTACGTAATTAACACGGAAGATAGACCCAGAAACCCCTTCTTGAAGGAGCCCTGTGTTCTTTTATGTGCACTTATACATAGGCATATAAGTACACACCACAGCCTTTCGTATGAGTTGCGGACCACTCAGTCAAACACCCTGAAATGCTTCACGCAAACAAGGAATTTTTTTAGTCTTGCCTGAACCGGGGATCGAACCCGGGACCTATTGCGTAAGAGGTACCTGCGCTCCGCTGAGCTACACGGGTGGACTTATGAGTCATGTTATCCATATTCAGAATGAGGCCTGGACCTTCCAATATGAGCAAATGGAGGAATTGCACACGCGTTGTTCATAGTCATATCTGTGGATTGTAAAATTGAGATCAAATGGGAGATTTACCAAAGATGAGCGTTGGAATTGACACGTTCGATAACCTTTTTTATTAACAATAATTGGTTATCGGATTATTATATTGAATTATATACAATTTTAAGTTAAACTTAGTGTTTGTCTTTAACATTCCATATTTCAAAATGGATAACAAATAACAATTAGTGATTCAGTGAGAAAATAGATTTATGCGTGACTTTTTATTATTCCAATATAATTTTGTATTTAACCACCCTTAAAATTCAAAAGGTAACAATCAATATTTTATTAAATTCATCATATTGGCATCACTTTCGACTATCATAATTTTGCCCCACATCCGATTTTTACATCAATCTCTTTAGCCTACATATTATTTATTTTTATAAAGTAAAATGTAAAATTCAAACCAAACAAGGACAAAAATGTTCTTAGTGGCATAAAATATAAAAATAAGATAATTACTGAACCTGAAGCTTACACAAATCCAATGGATAACTGAAAAGTTCCTCGGAGATGTATTTTCCAGGAAAAGGATACTGTTTTATGAGTCGAAATGCATTTTCCAACATTACAGTGATATCTGTTTTTAAAATGACTTATACAATATATACGATGGTATAAAAAGCATACCTTGTGCGTTGGAATATTATTCTCCATTATGGAGAAGTGTTATTTGACTTATATATCCCCATGCATAAGTTACGTTCCATTAAATATTATATAGAAGAAATATAGTAGTAAAGAAAACTGCATTAATAACGTTTTACACGATCTAGCACTTGTATCTATATACCAAGATTTAGATAAATTTTAATTTTTATCTACATCTACAAATTAAAGAGTCCTACAAAGCCATGTCTCTAATAATTGAACATAAACCTTAACTCATTATTAAGAATTTAGTTATAAGTCGTTTTGAACCTTTGTTTCAATATATTTGTTTTTGAGATACTGTAGTCGTATTTTGAAATAAATGTAAAAACATATTCAAATCATTTGTGCTGTTCCGTTGTGTGGAAAATGTAAAATAGTGAAAAATGTGAAAAAACATGTATTTTATCTATTCTAGAGCGGACTTACCAAATAAATCACTTGTAGTTTGTAATTTCTCATCCTGGATCCCCGCTGAGCGTCCTTATAATTTAAAACTACCTCGCGTAAGATGATTTACTTTAAACATGCGTTACGTTGCGTGGCCTGGCAGTGGACGTCACTTGTAAGAATCTGGACATGAAAGCATCACATGCTTTGTTTTTTAATGATGACCGAGACGAGACTGTTGTGTGAATTGTTTATGAAATACTGTCACAATGCTTTAATCAACAGCAATTATAACTTGATGGGCTTTTAGGATTTCTTTGAACAAGACAACACTTTAAATTTCCGCCTGTGTTCCCTCGAGACAATAAATAGTGCCGATAGAATCTAAATAGGTCCGTAATATCCTAAACAATGGTTGTTTCAACCTCAACTTAAACTCCACGCATGTTTCTAAACTACAAGCATGAACCTCTAGAGGAGTTTGTGTCCCACGCTTGTACTATGAAAAATAATGGAGAAATATAAATCAAATAATCGTGGGTAGTGGTAATATAATAGTATTGGAAAGGCCAAAAGATGGTCATTAGTTAAGTAAGTTAATGGAGTTAGTTTATGATTTTCATTTTACAAAGACCCAAAGGAAATTGCGTCCTACTTTATGATATAAAGTCAACCTTAGAATCTGGTTCCGCTAACGATTTTGTTTGTTCATGATATAATTAACCATCTGCTATCTATGACATCTCGCTGAGGTCTCATCTTTAATGAGGTTTTAAGAGTTTCGCGGATTCAAATTGTCTATTTTAAAATATATTTTAATTTTCTACTAGAAAAACCTTGATTTACCAAAAAATCTTTGGTACACAGATGAGAAATTTTATTTATCTTTCAAGGATTTTTAAGATTACCGAAATCGTCCTATTGAAACAATGCTAACGTTGATCCGTCAACTGGTATTTGAGTTATCTAAGATTCAGTTTTAAAGCACATCAGCACATACAATTTGAAAACATGATGCAAATTATCTTGTGTAAACTTTAGAAAGTAATACCTTCAAGGAATGGTCATTCTACATTGCACTGAGTCGAGGGTTTAAGTGTAATTCTTTTGAGTTCGATCTTTGTCGACTGTACATGTATATAGTTAAAAAGTCCCTCACAAGCTTCACGAACGTAGGGTCATATATTATGTCTAATGTTTCCATTGCGGTGTAAACACAGATATGCCGATTACTCAATTAGTACAAAATTAGTGCTAAATTAGCACTCGTGGCATGAGTGCTCATGAGCACACTTTTGCCAGAGTGCTAATCTATTACTTCTTGACTGCTATTTTGGTAATAAGTTTGTGAAAAGTAACTGATTGAGTACTTCTTGAGTGCTATTTTAGTACTGAAAATTGCTCATTTAGTCCTAAAATATTGTTAATTTACTGAAAAATGTGCACTTTAACAGTAGACCAGTGGAATACCTGTAGCTGGGATATAGTTCACATGTTTCTCCTAATGGTGTCTGTCATTTTGTTTCTTAGCTTCATACCGTTCCATGAAATAGCTACAGAACTGGGAATTTTTTGAAAAGTTTAATGATATATTTATCCATGTTTTCATATATTGTGTTTTCATTTCCGCCATATTCGTTGCGGAACATGATAAATATTCGTATTATGTTTACCGCCTAACAAGATCAACTAAGTATCTATATACAATAAATCAATTTTAATTGTCAAACTGTTTTTTTTCTTTAGAGTGTTTTCATTTCAGCTGCTCATTCCCGCTCTGCGTTCTGTCTCCTAAGATCACTTTTTATCAGGGCTGAAAAAAGAGAAGTAAATATTTTATATGTGAATGTTTAATATGATCAAATGAATATGCGACTGTGTAATATCGTTTCTATCGAGCCACTAACCACGTACATCTTTTGTTCGATCATTCGTTTGCTGAAATCGTATCATCAGTATTTTCGTTTTTAATAAAGCTTATCTATTAGTAATGTATAAGGAAAATGTGTTGCCATGACTACCGAGATACATCACCAGTAGCTTCCTGATTCAGATTTTTGGAATACGCAACGAATTTATGCTTGTGTTCCAACTACTATCCATTTTTGGAAGGTGGTCCCACATGGTAGTAGTAATTGAAATCCAATAAACATGTAAAGTAGTTAATACATTAATTATGTCTGTGCCTTACTTGTCATTATACATCCTACTAACAAGGCACCTGCTACAAGTAGGCATGCCGCAAGTGTCCCGTATTTCAGTAAGGCACCCATACCAAGCGTCAGAATGATACCAAATAACTGAAAAATAATATGCAATAGTATATTTAATTTGTACGTCGCAAAACTCTCGAATGTTTTCTGTCATAATATCAAGTTCGATGAACAGAAATACCTGATGTTGACCATGGTTAAACGAATTTCGATTTGATATAGTTAAGTATGCTGTATATAATTGATTAATATGGACAACAAGGTACTTTCCCATGCGTTTGGAAAGCCATACTTGAGCTGCGGCATTAAGTAAGCCAGACGATGTCCCCTCAGATTCAGGATATGTTATCTCAGCACCGAACTCGAACCCAACAGGCAGATATCCTGTCATGAAAAACCTATAATTCAGAGGATGAACACTGCAATGTCTTGTCTTCCCTTACTTCGATAGCACATTAATCATTACAGCGCATATCAATAAGAAACTATATGAACCAATATTTTTCCTGGAGACCCAAGTCTGTGTGTACTGATGGTAAATGTGAAGACTATCATTGAAATGAAAGCAAATATGTGCAGTCCTGCTGTCGTCCATCTTAAAGAAAAAAAAATATGGTAAGCGCATTCTATTTAGATTAATATGGGATTTCGTGTGAGGATATTTCAAACAGCAATCATCCATATACACGGCGGGTTTGTATTTTTACTTTCCGTGACCTAGTTAAAGATACTTTCATTAGTATATTTACATGCCTCCTAGACTTCCTACAACGCGAACATCAGTTCTGAGCTTGCGAACTACGTCCCTTGCGCTTGAAACTCGGTTCTCATGTCGCGAACGAGAAATCTTTAGTCGCGCACCACCATTTACTCGGTCTCGAACATATTTCTCCACTCGCGAACAGAGATCCGTGCTCGGGAACCACACACCTGATCGAAAAAGTCAGTAATTTTATTTGTATTATTATGCATAACTCAAATTCCAACGAAGTGTTTTTATTTAGAATTCGTACGAAATACTTTACAAGTTTTCATGCATGTTAATGAATATCCATTAATTGAAGATAACAACATCTTCAAGCTCCAGGAAACACAAAACATTGGGACTACTTTGCGATCCCACGCATTGATATTTCAGTGAAAGGGCTGGGTAATAGTAACATGGCTTTTCATTGGCTGCGGAGAGTTTATGACTCTATTGAAATACACATGTTTACGTGTATAAGTGTCAATGTAAACTGCAACCAGACTCCTGTTGTTGCTTGCTGCAATTCGAATCTCAAATACCCAGATGTGCTTTGTACAAATTGTTCGCGAGCACGAATCTTTGTTCGCGAGTGGAGAAATATGTTCGGGAGCCTGGAAATGGTGGTGAGCGACTGAAGAGTTCACGTTCGCGACCCGAGAATCATGGTTCGAGCGCAAGGAGCGTAGTTCCTGATGTTCGCGTTGTTGAAAGTCTATGAGGGTGTCCTATCCTCACTCGTTTGTTTATTTCGTGGTATGACTAAAGTATAGTAGTTCTATTAAAAACCTGTCTGGGCACTTCAATGGTATACTACAGCGACATCTTTGGATAGAATACTCTAACTTGCAGGCATATAATGCTCAGAATAACTGGCTGGGAAACATGTGAGCATAACAGTGAACGGTAAAATCTTTGAAATTAATTTCAGCGGCTGGATGACCTTGGTAGTGGTAAATTGGTCAATGTACACAAATATGATGACGTTTTGGTACTCCTACTATGTAAGAGAGCAGAGCTTTTGATTTCCGTGGGATATTTCTGTTGAAATTTTTTTGACATGAAGGAGAGATGTGTTGCTAAATTTCTCTGAAATTCTTTGAAAATCGATGGGCTGCGATTTGAGAAATTCTAATTTGAACTTTGTCAATTTAACATGCATCCCAATGGTACAAAAAGTAAGGAGAGTTCTACCGTATAGAAACTACATTTATCAATGAATTTGTCGTAAAATATATTGAATTTAGTCCCATTTCGCACGTCTTTCTGTGTGACTATTTGGGGTTTTGCAAATTAACCCCTTAACTCCTGGAGACGACGATCGAAATTCTGCTGATTCACCAATTTTAGTTTATTCACTGAAAATCGTAGTTTTGGGCCTAAACGACTTCATTATTGCCAATTTAAAAGATAATTCAGTGCAGTTATTGCTCAATTAAAAGGAACATACCTGAAACATTTCTCCAATAAGTTATTTGTATGAGAAAATAACCACTTTCAGTCTTGAATTAAGTATTACAAAATATGATGACGCCAATGGTCAGAAGAACCCTATAAAATCAAAAAGGCTGGTAAGTCAGGTACGAGTCAGGTAGGCAATTGAATTTGCTAACTTTTTTAAACAAAAAATTGATGTCTCTTCAGGTTTAACAAAGTTATGGGGCTTTAAACACTCAAAACCGCTTTTAAAAGTGTAAAATTAATTTTGTTAAAAAGTGAAAAAAATCCTAAAATGTTTTTTTCAAATAGATATAGTATATATCTTCATACATTTGTACATTCGTTACCCAAGGCATTAAAGTAAACTCCAAGGAAAAATAGGCGAATTTTCAAATTGAAATTAGGGTCCGTCTCAAACATGTCGATTTTCACACCTTGACCCCCTGATTAATGTGTCAAGCTATTCAAATTAGAATGCATCATTTTCTAAAAACCAAGAATGTTCCTCATGGTACTTAACTGTCCTTTAAAATCGCAAATGGATTTGGACTGAAAGCTTTTTCTTTTTGATGTGCATCACTTTGTCAACATGAACCAATAACATCTATCGTTTTTCTCAATTTTTAACTTCCCCTTTGTTTTTCATTTGAATAAAATTAAAAAAATCGACACTA